ATTTTCTTTTGTTTAATATTATATTGCCAGTAATTCAGTTGGGAAGTTTCTAGGCATTCATTGATTTCAGGTAGTATTCACCACGGACTGATATCTGTTGGATAACCAATGAAAAACTTGGAGCACTGTTGATTGTGCATTAGTAACCTGCTTTGAGATGAGTTTCCTGAAGTTCTAATCAGAACGCATCACTTATGGAGTAGTCAACCAAGTCAGGTATGAGAATGAATACTTGTTGATAGCACTGGGAGATAGATGGTCACGCTACATCTCGTACTGATAGTAGTAGCAGTAGTAGTAGTGTAATGTAAACCGATGGATTCTGACCTAGTAACTGAATTGCAACATGCTTGCTGCCAAACCTGATGGTCATGGGTTTGACCTCTTGCTATGCTGTGGGTGCACACTGCTGAGGAAGTTGGACACTAGGATGAAACAGCTGTTCAATGATCTCAGGTATTTAATAGTTCACCAACTGATCTCACCTGGTAATGAACCCATGGACATATTTATAACTCACTATTTTTGAATGTCTTGTGCCGAAGCATTCTTTGCTATGAAACCGATTGTTACTTAGTTGGATCTATTTGTTTGATTTAGTAACACTAACCATCTGTTCTATCACTAACTGACATAATTGAGTGCAAGTGTTTGAAAATGTGCTAGTTCATTATTTTTTGACCAAACTCCATATTTACAGATAGAAAGTTTTAATGTACTGTATTTTATTCGCTAAATAAAAATAATCTGTGAAATTAATGCTTTGTTATGAATGGTTACTTTATCATTATAATTGTTTGGTGTTCTCTGAGCTTGAAGGTTTCTTGCACTTTTCATCACTAGGTTAGGTTGCATGAATGTCTATGAAGGATGTTATATTGATCTTGTTAACTAGGAGAGAAATCCAGAAGACACCTTTCATCCTTTTTCAAACTCATTCGTCAGCTTGATGTACCTGCACCCCAGTGTGGATATTTACTAACCGTGAGCGTTATCAGCTTGCCACGAGGCTGAATTTGCTTTTTTTAAAAATTCTAACCAGAAGTTGGCCTTTGTGACTGTTGTTATCAGTTACTCTTGTGGGCGTCGGAGCTGTGCTCGTTGAGTGGTGTCCGTCAAGGATGCCCACTCTCTCCGTTCTTATTCAATTTTATCATAGATGTTCTTATGGAGGTCTCCCTCTCGTCACCTGACTACACAGAGGTTGACCTAATCGCAGAAGAATTTTCGTTAGACCTAGAATACGCAAATGACATGGTCTATTAGGCGAAGACGCTGACACTTTGATTGGCAATTTGAGATGTTTGGGATGCGTTTCTCACCACCCAAATGCAAATTGTTGCTCCAGGATTGGTCTTCAACGGTGCTATGGCTAACAATAGGGAGTGCAGTGATTGAGTGTGTTGACCACTTCACTTACCTGGGAAGTAGATCAACCCTGGTGCGTTGGTCAGTTGCCGATGAAATCTCTGCACGGATACAAAAAGCTCGGTTGGCTTTGCACTGTATAGGGAGATGCAGACTACTTGACTGTGGTCCACTCAGCGAATGGAATCAGTGGTTGAGTACTTTTGAAGATATGGCTCAAAATCGGTCACGATGGCACAGCTGTAATATTTGCACCAACCTTCATCTTCAATTGTTTATTCTCTCATACAAGTTTGTCTATTTTAATATCACTCTTCTGTCCAGTTGTTTCTTTTATACTCCTGTGAAGTGTTGCAAGTGGAAGTGATACACTTGTGTGCGAGATTTTACGTTAATTCTGTCATGTCATGATTAGATAGTCATTAGGTCTGATCACTTTGCATATTGTGGACTGTTTCTAGCCCCTATATTCTAATAGTTTACGGAGATTCATCCATACAGTCTGCACTGTTTATTTTGTGGCTTGCTCGTTACCTTTGAAAACTTCCTACATTTCTAATCAGCAGCGTTCCCTACTGGTATATGTTGGTAACTGACCTTACACATATTATAGATTATAGTTGGATATCATGTTCGCAATAATAGGTGACTGTAGCTGACAAATTTACGTCTGTATGCTACATGTTACATGTACAGATTTGTACATTTGGTGTCATGTCTTGTTTACTTGTGTGTGTGTGTGTGTGTGTGTATGTCCAGAGAAGTTTTCGCGATATTCTTCTCTGGTTTTTTTTGTGCAAATGAAACATGTTTAGTTTGAAACCGGCTGTCTATGTCTTCATCTGTTTACTTAATCCTTTTGTTCTATCGTATGGTTTTGTCACTGTGTGTGGTAATGAAGTGTTGGATACATCTTTGTGGTGGGTTCTTTTTTCTTTCTTGACTGGACATGTTGTTTAAACTAGTCTCGTTTCAGGTGAAATGATTTTTTGTTGCTTATTTGCTTGCTTCTTTCTTTTCTTACCACTCGTCTCTTCCATATTTCTTTGTTTTGTTGTCTGTGTTTGTCTTAAAATGAAGAGTTATTCATTTAGGTAGTTATGTATCGGCTTACATAACTAATTCTTTATGCCTACAGCCCTTTCAATTCAGCTTACCGATCGTTTTACAAAGATTAAGGCAGCTGCCTTAAGTTCAGTCAGACTCCAGTGTCACTCTGCCAAGTTGAGTAGTATATAGCGCTAAACTAACCCGTTGATTTTCTAGTCTACTTGGTGGCTAGCAATAAAATCAAAGGTACACGTTTAGTCCTATTTGTAACTCATCAACCGGATTTATCTTCAAAACCAGTGAATGATGTTGTCCAACTGAGACTCGAACTCAGTACCCATCGCTTCAAACACCAAAGCATTATCCACAAGACCTCTAGGATAGGACAGACATGTCTTGATCAAACAACAACCTGTAAATCATCGACTTCTTACCCCCATGTAATATGATAGTCAGTCAACGTAATCTATCTCTAACAGGCTTGATGAGACGTGATTATGGTTGTAAAGTTGAACTGTTTTTCTTCCTCGAAAATTCCCGTTATAATTCACAAGAGAATTAGATGAATAAAGAATATTCTATTCGACATCCATTTCGGATATATAACTGTAGAGACTGAGGAAGAATTTAGCGAAAAGGTTATTCTTTATTCATGTAATTGTCCTTCGAACTGTTTTCCCCTATGGTCAAAGTTGATCATCAGTGTAAAATACTTTGTATACCAGTTGTATAGGGACTCGTTATCATTTCATATGGAAATATCATCAACGCTGCTGCTGGCGGAATTATTTTTTTTCAATTTCGCCACACTCCACAACAGCATCTATTAATGTATGTGTGTGTGTATATAACTGTAGCTCATTGGCCTAGACTCTTGACTTTTCACCACTGGTTCGAACTTCGATCTACCTACTAATATCACCAGCTGTCGCGCAACAGGTGTGCGACTCATTACCCACTGTATGAATATACATGTGGTTGCTGATTTTGATAGATGTACGAATAGTGAGTGATTTATGCAGAACCTATCTATCATTTTAATATGAATTCAACTTCAACCACCCACATCTCTCAATAATGAGTAGTGTAGAAATGTGGTATCTGAATCTAGTAACACCTTTTGTAACAAACTGGATGTATCACTAGACATTGGGTAAATCCAAGAGTAGATAGAAAGATGGCATGTGTATGCAGATTAACGGGAACTAGTTTTCATTTTGAGGTTTATGGGGAGATTTATTTGTTGATTTGAGATTGATATTCATCATGAATTGACATCAATTGGAGAAACATTGAAAATCTGTGAACACTGGATAGTTGGGACTTCCTGGCAGTTCACATCCTCGATGCTTCGAGAGATTGAGCTTAGAACCATCAAGCATTGGTCGCATACGGTGGAATCACCATGTGAGAAATATAGAAGTCAGGAAAAGGGTATCATACAGAGAATGCAAATCAGTCGGTGAAATTATGAACTTTCATTGACTGAGATAGATTGGAGATGTACTTGAAACGCTGATCCACCGCTTACCTTGACGTCCCATACTGAAAGAAGTTGAATTAGGTTGTAAGAGCGTTTAGGGTGCCCAGTCCAAGATATGACATCAATGCATTAAGTTTCTGATTGTTGGTCGATGAACCGCTTAGGAGCGGGGGAGGTTAGACTACCCGGCTGGGGTTTCCGTGGCGATACAAATGAATCAGTAGTTGAGGTCTCTTACTGACATAACTGAGAATCAGTGACCAAATTCATTTTACTGCTATGAACTTTTGTCTACTTTAATATCAGCCCTTTTTCTATCCACTTGTCTCTTAGATGCTACTGCGAAATGTGGTAACTTTACGAGGTTCTATGTTGATTTTGTCATTGTCTTATCATAACCATCAAGTGTCATAGTGAGCATGTTGCCATTCAGTCACTGGGTTGGAATTCAGTGGTTCAGTATTGCTTACTTCTGTCAATTCACAATATAACACGATCATCGTCCAGTGTTATCAGTAGGCTCCCCATCTCACTTCCGACTTGGTTCATCCCCATAGGTCATGATGGCTTCGCGTTGGAACTTTAGGAAATCCATCTCGAAACATGGCACTGAAAGCTCTAACAGGTTTTCTATGGTTCTACAACTGACATCAATCTATAGTGAGGATGTTTTGTTTCATAGTCCTGTGATACTTACAATGATGATGATTCACGATATCTGCTGCTATGGTAGTCAATATCTTCAGTATAATTTTATTGAAGTCAAAGAAGATATTCATATTTTTGTTGGTGTTATGTTCGTTCTCTGGGTTGGATGGTTTTATTCTGAAGATTTCATTGTTATTCTAGGCGCATACACTTCAGAAAGAGCTATAAGATCTCTACAATTAAATCATCCAGCTCAGAGAATATATCACCACTGAAGTTATCTTCTTGGGTAAAAAAGTTTCTTCACTGCATTCTTCATGCTTCTTTGCTAATTACAAGTTGATTCATTGACAATTGGATTCAGTTATATATGCAGAATAAGAAGAGTACTAACTCTAGATAAATCCATAATTTTAAAATTAATAGTAATTTATTATTGTTATTATTATAGGCACTCATGTTATGGAAGGTTCAGGCAAAATGGTTGTTACTGCTGTTGGGCCAAACTCTCAAGCTGGTATAATATTCGCCTTATTGTCATCTGGAACTGGGCAGGATGAACAAACAGGTGGAGGTAGTGGAAAGGAGAATAAAAGCAATAAGAAAAGTGAGTTTTTCATTTATTGAAAAAAAATCAACTATTTACTTGTTATATGTTATGTCTTTAGGGTTTCTCTTTTGAAGAAATGAGTATTGAGTTCGAATCTCAGTGAGGACAACATCACTCACTCACTCACTGAGGTACAGGTGCATCTAGTTGATTAGTGAGTTTCAAATAGAATGAAACGCGCGCCTGGATCCCACTGCTAGCCACTATCATAAAAATCTGTCAGTATCGAGACATCTGAATGCGAACCCATGAACCAACAGGGGTCGGGCAGTTCGACCCTACATACCGACGAGAAATTGCTAGTGTCGAACAACTGCTGTTAACGCAGTTATACCTATACAGTCCCCTCCCAACACGCTTTCACCACCAAACACTGCTTTTATCAATCGTATAAGGTGCTTCCTCTTCTTACCATTTTTACCTCTGCCTGGAACGAGTCTTTTTACGGTAATGAGTTGGGATAAGCTTATCAACTTTTGTTACAGATTATTCAATGTTGCTGATACAGACAGTTGTAGAATCCTAAGCAACTGCTCTAAAACGAGATATTTTCCTCAGAACGGTCATTAATAATATGATCTATTTGTTATTATTGGCCTAGTCATCAGTGCATCATCAATATGTGTACTATGATTTGCTGTCAATGTTCAAAAGCATATATTTGTGGTACAGTCAAGTAACTGACTGGTATGATTCTACTTATTTGTCCTGTGTTTGTGAGTAGTATCGACAGTTTGCAGTGAAAGGTATCTTCCACATCATCTAAGCTGAGGTAAACCGGATGAGGTGCTGAGTTGGGGTGGGGGTTAGTGTGTATATGCAGTCCGAACAGAAGTGCTCTGTTTAATGAAAAGAACGGATGAGTGGCAACTCAAATCTGGTCTATAAGTGTACCTGAAGAGATTGAACCCCCATGATTAACGAAGAGTAAACTATACAGCATTTTTAACGCTAGAATATCATATTATGAGTTGGTAGACATTCTCCACAATGTATGCTACAAAGATACTCAGAAAAAGAGCAGACCCTACAAAATTTCACAAACCCCATGACTTCATGAAGAATATTGACGGGTAGGTAAAATTAAGACAGGACCAGGTATTACTGTCCAACGGTCTAAATTGCCACACTTCATATCAATACATCAAAAGAGAATGCACTAAAATAAAAGATGAAGAAATAAAGAAGAAAACCATCAAGAGAGGTAGAAAGTAGCTGAAAGAAAACAAAGAGGTATTCAGTAGGACGATTAAATTGAGCATAATGTGTGGATATATCTGCACTAGTGAGGTCGATTCTCAGTCATGTCATCAAGAAGTAGAATAAAAGTATAGGGGGTACCCTGAATTACTGATCAACTGTTTTCTTTATATATATTATTGTGGATTATTTTCCTTGACAGATCACTTTTCATATGATGATATGGTATGTTTCACTGAAGGGAGTTCTACACATTCTGAACCTAAACTTCATACTTCATGATAGGTTTGTATTTTCTTTTTTCACATTTGAAACATTTGGGGGGAGGGTATCAACAGTAACCTCTGAACCTAACTCTCATGATTGTTGGCATAATCTTAAAATTGTTCATATTTCTTCCAAAAGTTGAACTTCATTTTTGTCATAATACTGAAGTGTAAAAATGTCTACTAGTAATCAAGGTTCATTTTTTCCCCACCAGTTGATTACTTGCACCTAACAGGAAACTGAGCACACTGCATACTTGATTGTCAAACTTAAACCATCATTCAGAGAGTCATATGTTCAGTCGAATGAAGTGACCACTTCTCAAAGTTGTGACGTGAGTTGCCTCAGATAGGATATATGCGTAGACAAATTCTGATTGTCTAGTCAACACTCACGTTGACACATAATCTGAAGAACTATGCACTATGGGATCTATGTTGTGTGTGTGTGTGTGTGTGTGTGTGTGTGTTAATCCTGCGATTCTGTTGATCAAGAATACTAAATCTGCAATTTGAAGGCGATTAGTTTCAATTTAACTGAAATTCAAACCTTTGACAATTATAATCACCATTATCCTCACTTTTAAGTAATTTTAAAGTTTTCCAGTTAAGATTGTCTCCTTAAATAAGTCTGATTATAAATTACAAAAAAATATTTATTTACTACTTATTTCTATATAATTTTAATACTTATCACTTCATATTTCTAGAGAAAACTAAGAAGAATGCAAATGGAGATAAGAATGCCCCAAATTCAGATGCTTATCAATTGAAATCGAAAGCTAATCAAAATGAGATAGATGCAGATGGTAATAAAACGAAACCGAAGAAAAAGCCACGTCGTAAAGAACAATCTGTACTGCAGGCAAAATTAACTAAATTGGCTATACAAATTGGATATGTTGGTAAGATGTGTTATTATCTATGACATTTATAACTTATTATTATTATTATTATTATTATTATTATTATTATTATTATATATTATTATATTAGTCCCTTGGGTTCCTAGTGGAACATAGGCTTCAGTAGCACATCTCCAGTAAACTCTGTTCTCTGAGATCTTTTGAACCTAGTTCCACGACAGCCAAGAAGCTCTCATTTCTCCTCGCACGACCTCCTCCATGTCACCCTCGGACGTCCAACTCGTCGCTTCCCTTGGGGATTCCACTCGAGGGCCTGACGCGTGATGTCCTCAGTCGGCCTTCTCAGTGCATGCCCAATCCATCTCCACTTCCTCTGCATATTTGTTGCGTGATAGGTTCTTGCCTTGTTGGTTCGTTCCCAGAGCTCCTTGTTGCTTATTCTGACTATTCTGGCCATCTGATCTTCAGCAGCGAGCGTAAGCAGTTGTTGATGAATGTCTGTAGTTTATTGGAAATGCCTTTCGTGACACGCCAAGTCTCTGAACCATACAGAAGCACTGACTTGACTGAGTTGGTGTTGAAAATCCGTATCTTGTTCCGCATGGTGAGTGCAGAAGATCTCCACACTGGTTTCAGGCTAATGAACACTTGTCTTGCTTTTCCGATTCTGACTTTGACGTCCTCGTCCGTCCCGCCTGTAGTTGAAACAGTCTGTCCCTTCGGCGACCATACCACGTGAAGACATTTATAACTATCACTTGATAAATTATGGTTTTGTTCAAGTGTTGACCGGTTAAAGAAGTAGTTAGAAGGAATCTATGAATATAAGTCGGTTACATGTTGACACTAATTGACAGATCGTATTTCGGATGTTGAAGAAACACTTATCTCGTTGATAGATTTGACCATCAACCAATACGGATTCATGAATTGTCTTATGGATACAAACAGCAAATATGCCATGGTAATATGAGTCAAAAAAAAACAACAACATTGTTTTCATTCAGTATCAACATGCGACCTGACATCAGAACATCAGGATACATAGCAATCAGATGAAAGATGGCTAATTTGTACAAGTTCATTAGGTCAACTATGAGCTAGCCAGCGGTGTCTGGTATCTTACTGACCTCAACCGGTTACTGTACATTTGTGTACTGTGTTTAAATCAATAGTCAAAGAGTTGACGAAGTGATGCCATGTTTTATTCTAACCTCTCCTCACTTTGTCCCAGCTCACACCTACTTCCTCTAACATTTTTCCATGGAGTAGATAGACAGTGGTTAAGCATCTAAGTCGATAAAGGTTTACAACCGCATCAAATAACATCTCTTTTATTTAAAATTCTGCACTTGATTGCCATTTTATTGATATTGTGGTTCCACGACACATGATCTATGATAAGATGACAGAGGTTGAAGACCTGAAGCTTATTCATATCATCCACTTGTGATGGTTATGTTTTGGTAGTCATAAAGGAGGACCTAGGTTTTAATTGACAAACAACAGCTAAGTCTTTTATGCACTTGCCATCTCAGTCTATGAAGGTTCAGAACATTCTCAACTGACTTGCCTGCAGCACAGTACACTCGACGCTTGACAGACAGTCGTATATCTCGGTGGCTCTATAAGTGGAATAAGTTGGCCAAAGCCAATTGAGCCTTTTGTATGCACCATAGATTTCGTCAGCTACTAACCCACCAGGTTTGGTCCGATTTCCCAAGGTAAGTGAAATGGTCATTTCACTAAACCACATCACTCTTTATTGTTAGCCGAGGGAGCGCTGAAGACCAGTGCTGGCGCGGTCAAACATTATAGCACACTATTCGTCACTATCCGATGAGTAATAAAATAATGGTTTGTTCTCGTGTCTATTGGTTACCTCTTAAACACAAATGGTAATTCCTGTTGTTGTTTTGAGTAATTTCACTCCTGTGTTTTTTGACATAAGCTAAAGGGAGGTAACAACAGCAGCAATAATAAATAGATTGTTTTTCAATGTTTTCGTGTTAATCAAGCCTAAAAAGGTAGCAAAATAACAACTACAACACTTGAAAGCTGAAATAGTAGAATTAGAGAAGATCCGTTTCCCTGTATCTGGTCTGTTTCTCCCAGATAAAACTAACAGTCACGCGAACATCAAACCATCAGAAGTAATAATATTCATGGTAGCGATAATAGAATTTCTGTCGATACCAGAATCGAAATTTGATCTACTGGTATTAAGCAAATAGAACATTGTTAAATTTTAATGAAGTTAGAAAGGTGGATTTATAGCGTTTTCTCACCTAGTGGAAGCCATTTGTTTAGACAACACTGTGTAGCTCAGCATGGCACGTTTGCTGTGCTACAGCTTACTGTTGGTGCTCCTACTGCTACTACTACTACTCGGTTTCCCCTGGCCAAATTAGGTGGAGATTTAAATGGAGTTGCATGTGAATATATCGGGGAACAAATCGGGTGAAAAATTCTATTGATTGCGTATACCTTTGCGACATTCGTTTATGACTGACATTGTTGAATTTGTCCCATCCGAATTATAAGATCCAAGTTGGTGGAATGGTTCGGTCTTGACATTGTATTAAACTCAATCGCACTTAAATACTTTTCGGTATGAATGAGACATAGTCCAACCGGGAGACGCGATTCTGGATGGAAGTGGACAGTACTCTATCCTATATGTAAACTATAACCATTTTGAGAGTTTGACAGTAATGATGAATAATGGTTACCAATGGAATCATCAATGCACGTCTCGTACTGTTCAGACTCGTCAGTGCGATACATCTGGCTCCCTGGTATCCATCACCTTCAATACAAGAACGTTAATCTCTAGGTCGTTGTTTGCGCGACAGTGATAGTTTGATGTCATAACTTGTAGTCCTCTGTTGTTGATTCGACTGAATTACTGGTTCACTACTGGTAAATAGGTGCTGCTGTACAAACGTCTCGATACTGTCAGTAAATCCAGTCTAATGTAGTAATGCTTGTAATGTGGTCTAACGAACAACAAAAAACTGCAGGCTATAACATCATTTCTGAGAAAATTTGTTTTCTCCTAAAAAGTTCTAATTCCATGTATCTCTCTTCTTGAATGAGATCCTTCGTACCTATTCACTTAAAAAACTCTAGAATCCGCCACCACCTGCACCTCGTCCAGAAATACCACCAACAGCCCAGACACAGAACTACCAGTGAACACAAGCCCTCCGACAATAGCCGAAGTCCTGAACGCCATAAAGCTGCTGAAATTCGAGAAAGCAACAGGATCAGATCGAATTCCACCAGAAGCACTGGAAACAGACACAGGGACAACAGCAGTGCACATGCTCACACCACACCACTACTACAGAAGGTTTGGGAGGAAGGAAAGGTACCTGTCAACTGATTGGAAGAAGGGCTAATACCTTGTCAAACTACCAAAGAATTGAGACCTAAGTCATTGCAAGAACTGGCGAGGAATCATTCTTCTGTCCACCACAATCAAAACACTATACCGCATCATCCTGGAGAGACTAGAAGATGTGCTGGGTTCAAAACGACAACCAGAACAGGCTGGCTGACTTCTGGAAGTACAAATCATGTGCGGACCAAATCACAACGCTACACTACGCATCATCATAGAACACAGTGTAGAATGGCAGTCAACTGGATATTCACCTCAACTTCATCGACCTTGAAAAGGCCTTCGACAGCGTCGACACAGAAGTAAGTAATTTGCAAACTGCTGCTCCATAAAACTTTATCAATCTGATTCAACAACTATATGACGACGCCATATGCCAAGTAATTCACAATGGGAAGCTCAGTGATGCCTTTGAAGTGAAGAGACAGGAGTAAGACAAGGCTGCCACCTACTATCACCCACGATCTTCCTGATTGTGGTCGACTGGATCATGCAGCGAACCGTGAGGAGCGGTAAGATGGGCATACGCTGGTGGACTGATGAGAAACCCCAGAAGAAGATTTGGATTTCGCCGATGACTTGTGTCTAGTGTCACACAAACTTGAAGATCTATAGGTGAAAACTAACAAGTTGACAGAAGAGGCGAGGCAGGGCAGTGAAGACAGGACTTCATTCAGGTGGACGTAGAGAAGACAGAGGTGATGAAGATACCCAACCAACAACAGCAACAACAAGAGGCACCAATCACCATGAACGGGAGAAACCTAAAGGAAGTAGTCTCTTTCAACTACCTAGGCAGCGCAGCATTGTTTCAACCATAGGCGGAACAGGCACAAATGAGGATGTCAAAGCTAGGATTGGAAAGACAACAAGACAGGCGTTCATTAATCTGAAATCAGTGTAGAGATCTACTCCACTCAGCATTATGAACAAGATCCAGATTTTCAACACCGACGTCAAGTCAGTGCTTCTATATGGTGGTTCAGAGACTTGGCGTGCTACGAAAAGCATTTCCAAGAAACTACAGACATACATCAACAGCTGCCTACGCTAGATGCTGAAGCTCAGATGGCCAGAAAGAATAAGCAACAAGGAACTGTGGGAACGAACCAACCAAGAACCTATCGCTCACAAATATGCAAGAGGTGGAGATGGATTGTGCATAACGCTGAGAAGACCAACCGGGGACATTACGCGCCGGGCCATCGAGTGGAACCCAAATGGGGAACAGCGAGTTGGGCGTCCCAGCTGAGGATGACATGGAGGAGATCGTGCGAGGAAGAAATGAGAGCTCGTGGGCAGTCGTGGAGCTAGGTTCTAAAGATTGCAGAGAAGAGAGTGGGATGGAGCCCTATATTCCACTCGGAACCCAAAGGACAAATAAAATAATGATGATATTAATAATTCGTAATTATTCAGTTGTCTTTTCACACGACTGACTTTTCTTTTGGCTCTATGTCTTAGATTATTTAAGATAGATGGAAGATGCTCACATCATTTCAGGGTTCATGTTAGTGCTACTGAATAAAAATGAACAGTAGTAGTGCTACTGTACAATTTTATCAGTAATTAACCAATCTTGAAAGTTTCATCCTACATAATAAGTGTTTTTCGTTATTAAAATTGAATTTTCATGTCCAGTATTGTTTTTCTTACTTAAAATTAACAATTCACTGAGTTAATTGGGTGATTTGAGTCAGTAGAAAATTGAAGTGGATTACATTTCACGGTCTTTTGTTTCCTTCGGTTTTCGTATAATGAAAAAAGTGTATTTGGCGCAATGGTTGTGTGTTTGCGAGCAAAGTGAAAGAAAGAAGAAAACAGTGAAATCAGTAAGCAGCTGAAATGCCTAACTCATTAGCTAGTGATTTCAATTCACTAACATCCTTTATTCTGACAGCAAATTAATTTCTTTTCGATTCTTTAAGAAACTTGATTAAAAGCTTAGTTTTTTAAAAGATACAAAGAAATACGCGCTGTACACACTATACTCCATTAGGTGTTTTTATGTGTTGTGAAAATTTACTTCCAATTTTATTCGTGCTATATTGCAAATTGACAGAAGCTGGAAACTGTGAACCATTGAATTCCGACACAGTGGCTCATTGGTAACGTACTGGCTGCGGAACTTGAAGTTCTTGGGTTCCATCCCAGACAGTCATGGATGCTGAGGAGTCCTATACTAGGACGAAACGTTTGTCTACTACTTCCAAGTTTGTAATGGTTCTTCAACTTATATCAGTTCATGATGGATGGTACCTTAAACATAGAATCTCCATCAACCTCAAAATACATTACTGCATAGCGTTCATTAGTGAAATGCTTCGAGAAGGATATCCTGAAGTTCCAATGAGAAGCCGTAACCTTTGGGGTGTCAACCTGTTAGAAGCGAAGTGGATGCCAGCTGAAGACCTTGGTGGATAGTCGCGCTATATCGCGAAATGGCAGAAGTCCTGGGTTCCATCCCTAAACATGTAGTGACCTGCGTACTGCTGAGGCGTCCCATACTGGGACTAAATGACTATCCATTGCTCCCAGGTTTTCGATGGTTCTCCAATTAATATCTGTCGATGATAAATGTTATCTTGAAGTGAATAAGATTGCTGTTCTATTTCATCCTCATACCTCATGCTACTTACCATGAATCACTATGCACATCTGTGAACACTGTGGACATTCGATAAATGATTCTCGAGGGACATTGCATGTGACTGGTGTAAGGCTTCGATTATCCTACTCATCCATCAACCTTATTTTGCTTTGGGTCGGTGATATTGGCTTGGCGCTCTGTGAAATGTCTCTACCAGTAATTATTTAACTGGAAATTTACAAATTTGTCAAAGACAGCACTCTCAACCCCTCTCTATATTGCATGTGAGTTCTTCTAAGAGGAGTGTGATCGAATACTTCCAGTCGTTTACACATATGGTCACATCTCACGGCCATTTATCAGAAAAGAAGGTACTGTTAATTCAGTATGATAGAAGTTATCTGAATCTAGCTGGCTGTCTCTTCTGCATTGAAGCAGCGGGTGAAGGGGGAGGTTAACAAGTATTGTCAGTATAAGATTTGGCACTTTTACCTTTTCAAAATTTAAAAAAGTCGTCTTTTAGTGTTAACCTAAACGATATACCATCTAGATATGTTGCTGTAACATTTTCATTACTATCTGCTTCAATACATCAAGTATTACTGTATGGATATCAGGAAAGTAAGTACTAAACTAACTGATAACCTTCAATATTATTACTAATCAACGAAATATAACAAAGTGACTTCAGAGTACTGAATAGATACTAAAGAGTTCAATCAATGATATGGTTCCACACCCCTTTAAGAAAACTATAGACAAAAAGTCAACTGACCAGGTGAGAACCCCAGCTTACAGAACACGTCAATATGAATAACCTTTTTAGTGTCCATACTTAGTGTAACAGCTGAGACCACTTCGAATTGGTGTGGCTCATAAACCAACGAATTCCCCTCCAAACACTTGTATGCAGACCAATGGATGCAACAACCAAAGAAGACAAACCGAATATCATTTACAAAATCAACTGCAATAACTGTAGTCAATACTACATTGGACGAAGTGGCCGCCCTCTTCAACCTTTGTCTACATGAGCACCAATTGGCTATTAAACGCCACGACATTTCGTCACTCATCTCAATGCACGTGGATAACAACTATGGACATGAATTCAATTTCGACAATGTAGAAATTTTGGACAGAGAGAGAAAACACAAAGAATATCAGAGAATTCTTAGAAGCTTGACATCGAGGTCAGTCAGTCAGCAATCAACAAATGTATAGACACACATCCACTCTACCAACTAACGAGAAAAGTGGTAGACGGCAGAAAGGTCAGAAGTCAATCCTAGGAACAGACAACAGGAAAATCCATACAGTCAGTGACACAACAACCAAAGGAAACAACCAATCACAAACCGCTTCGTCAGGGCAAGCCATTAAACCACTCACGTAGAGATATTGACAGGTATTTTCATACTGAAGTTAGTGCTGATGATGTCGTCTAGCAATACGATGGAAGCTTGACGATTAAACAACCCAGTTCATAGAACACAATACAACCAAGACCATCCACCTGAGCTACAAATATTGTCCATTACTTAGTGTTACTATATTCTCTGTGATACTACAAGTCGGTCATATTGAAGGAGAAGGATGAGGAATGAAACGCAGAAGGATTGATTGTTACGACAATCTTTGCGTTACTAATAAAATATTGTAACCTTCCTTTGAAATATGAATTTGTACACTGTTCAAGTTCTTCTTCTTTGTCTATCTCGCCTTGCTATTGATGCAACAACGTCATCTTTTACGCTTCTCTGGGCAGAATATTTGTCCATTGCTCGTAATTGTCTATGACTTCTTCTGACCTGTCAACATATACTGCTTAAATGCATTCTTATCAATAGTACCCATTACAATATGATCTGCAAGTTAGAGATCAATCCCTTAACCCAACTATTCCAGTTGCTATATTCATTCTCTTTAAAAGTATTCCAGCAACTGACCTAACTGTAGATGGTATACTTTGATTTTTAAGTGAAACGAAGTTCCATTCAGATTGAAAGTAAAGCAAGGACTAGAAGTAAATCAGTCAATTTCTACAAATCACTAATTGAATTACTGTCTAACATTCACTGTTGAATTTCTTGAAGTTCTTGTGAGAAGTCATAATCTGTTCAGTCAACCAAGTATGCACGGATGATGGTCGCCCTACACTGTGGATGAACACAAGTAGAAAAATGTCTAGCATTATATCCTGATCGAGTGGACCTGTGATAACGTTCTCCTTTCGAGACCTGACGGGTCTAGGTTCGATCTGTTACCAAGTCATAGATATGCACTAATGAGGAGTCCCATTATGTGACAAAACAGCTGTCCATTACTCCCAGATTTAATGTTGAATTCGCATACTTTTCTTCACTGTTATTTAAGCTACAACTATCCTACTGTAAGACTGGATTATTTGTAGATAGACAAACAAGCAATCAACACAGAAGTTTGCACGCAATCCCATGACACTTCATACAAACTTCAGAGTAGTGCACACAAAACAAGTTGATAGCAAAAGACTGATATGAGAGTAGACAAAGTTATGCGAAAGAAAAAAAAATTGAAGATAAACATGAGTGCAAAATATTAAAGCTTTAGAAGGCGCCACGAAATGAAAACATATGCACCATTGTCACTGATTCTCAGCCATATCACCTAGAGGCCTCAACTACTGATTCCTTTGTCTCGTTGACACCAACTACGCAGTCTACATTTCCCTACATGGCTCAGACCAACAGTGAGAGACTTCATCAATTGATGCCACGTCTTAGTCTGGTCACTCTAAACTCTCTCCCAACCTGATCCAACTTCCCGTAGCACCGCATGTTGAATAAGAAGGTGGCTCGGATACACTGTACATATCGAAGCCACCTCAGCTAACGAAAGTCATCAACCTCATCAACCGTTCTACTTGCCTTGCCTAGTACCTTTCACTTGACGTCAATATTACTTGCGGTTCTATTAACAGTAAGCAATACCACGAAAGCACCTGTGATCAAAACCCTACACTAGATGGTTGCTGGAATACTCAACTAGTAGTTATATTGATTACCCTCAAGCAATTAACCTGTCTACATTTCCGTTCACTCATTTGTTGATTTCACCATATGTGTATCTGTGTGCGTGTAAAACTACAGTACTTTCCTTCGCTTCTGCCGCAGTCCTGTTCAAAATTCCTAATCTGATGGGTACCTATTGCATTCCATGGAGTCTAAGAGGAGATTCACTGTCGAAATCAGAATGCAACTCGGTGACCTTGTGCACATTCATGCAGTGGTAGGCAATACACTCCACCCACAGAGCAAGGGCTAGTAATACCTGACTCTGTCCAAACGTTAATACATCGGGGGGGTTGGAACCCATGATCCATTGGTTGAAAGTCATCTCCCTAAGTCAATGAACCAAAGATTCACAATTCATCCCCATGATATTTGCTATTTGGAGTTTGTATCTTTAACTGGATTCTGTCAAGAAGTTGCCAATTGAACTGAACAGAATATTCAATACTTCCTAGATTTCATTTTTTAAAAAAAGATTTTTTGCTCGGCTAATTGCCTCTCCCAAACGCTTAGCTTTCTACATTTCAGGATGTGTGCACCACAAATCACTTTTCACTTTACAAACTACATGCTAACCAGAATTATTTATTCATTTATTTTCATATAACATTTTTTTTCGCTAATGAAAATTTCCTGATCCTCCTTTCTCTTCTTCTCTTCTATAATTCTCTCTAGGCACATGTGTTGCAATTGCTACTGTCTTAATATTGGTTATCAAATTCTGTGTGCATACATTTGCACAGAATAAAGAACCTTGGCAAACTGGAAAACATTTAAAACAAATAGTTAATTATATTATCACTGGTGTCACAGTCCTTGTTGTCGCTGTCCCTGAAGGCTTACCATTGGCTGTCACGCTATCATTAGCCTATTCAGTGAAACGTATGATGAAAGTAAGTATTACTGGTTTATTTTGAAGAAAAAGACAATCTACTAATATTCTTATATTAGTAGTAACATTTGCTTTATCTTGTTTATTACAAAATTCTTGTAGTTTATTCAACTAAATATGATGGTGTTGGTGACGCATTTGTCTACTATTGGAGACTGCTCTACACGAGTGGTTAATATGCTTTCATTTTAAAGAGATTTTTTTTATGCAACAGTCTTATATCACTGCTATTCAGAGAAAGTTCCACCTGATCATTTCTTCTCTTGATGTATGTACTCTATATTCTTTCTCTATATTAAAAGTACATTAGTCAGTTGTTAAATGAAACACTTCGGTGTCTAGTTACTCTGGCAAAGAAATATTTCCCATATTGACTAAACTATGAACTCTGATTGTGACATTCTTTTATTATGATGCATATACTGCCAGTTGTTATTTGAACAAGTTCGTTGTAGCATCTCTTTATGCTACACTGAACACTGTGAACTCGAGTATAAAAGCATGCTGGAAATGGTGAGGGGGGGGTGGACAGTATATCTTACACTCACTTTTTGTAATATATAAAAGCACTTGAAAGCTTGAATTTCTTATTCAAGCAAACTTTGAATTACTGTTCACTAAAACCATTATGATGATGATTCTACATATTTTAAAAGGGATTAACGAAATTCACACTATATAAAAAACTTACGGAAGTAGCCTAACTCATAAAGTCTACCTTAAAATTGTTGTAAGCGAAGAAAGAACCTTTCCGCTGATCGTCTATAGCTTTCTAGTGGACGTATGCTAAAAATCTCAAATTTGACTGATGTCCTTGGTAATTAAAGATAAATAATGCCTATCAGTGGGATCCAGGATGGAGGTGACATTCTGTTTCAGGCCTTGTCAGTTCGATGTACCTGCCCAATAACGATTGGTGTTATTTCCTTTTGAAACTGTATCACTTTTACTATCCTTTGGAAGAAATGATACTATTCAATAACTTACCTATGGTATTTCCAAACTCCTTAACATCAATATAGGACCAGACATTATTGTATAACGGCCCAAGTTGCTACATACCCTATATCAACACATCAAGCAACAATTCAGTTAGATTAAAGATAAAGAAATAAAAAAGAATCGATCAAAAATGGAAGAAAGAAGTAGGAAGGAGGAAGGAGGAGTGGGAAAACGCTGAATTCTGCATAGCGATTAAGGTGAGGATAATGTGTGGATGCATCTACCCGCTAACATCGATTCTGAGGCAATAACACATCGAGTCTCCAACTATTGGTTTGTGTTGTTAGACGGACCCCAACCCACTAGTCTGCATCTCCCTTCATGCCTTAAAAGAACATTCAAAGACTCCATGCTCTGATGCCATGTTTTAGTCTGGCCGCCCCGAAGATACTTCAGCTAACATTGTACAACGAGGCAGACGGTGACTAGACATGTGTAACACATATTCCAGCCATCTCAGTCGATGAAGGTTCACAACCTCATAAATTGACTATCCTTCTGTTCCCTAAAACTCTGTACTGATTCCTGCGCTACTGAATTGGTGACACCGCGATACATGGCCTATGGCAAGAAGGTAATAATTCTCAAATACCTGAATCTTTCTCACACACTACCTTTGATGGCCATGTTTCACCGCCGTAGAGTAGAACGGAGTGGAGTGCAGCATAGTACACTCGACGCTTAGCAGACAGTCGGATATCACGCCAGTTATGTAAATTGAATAAGTTGGCGAAAGCCAATCGAGCCTTTGTATGCGTACAGGGATTTCGTCGGGCACTAACCTATCCGGTTTGATCTCATTTCCTAGGTAAGTGAAGTGGTTAACGCACTCAACCGTTTCCCTCTTTACTGTTAACCGGGGCAGTGCTGAAGACCAGTCGTTGAGCTACAATTTGTATTTGACTGGCGAGAAACCCACCGTAAAAATTTCCAGAAGACTCTCCACCTTGTCAGCGTTTTCGCCCAACAAGACTATGTCATCTGCATATTTTCCCTCCTTACAAGTTACGGTTTTTTCTGATTGTCAGGTTTATTTATGAATTATAATGTAACCAAATGCACCAACTAGGCAATTAACAGAACGTGCACACACACATACACGATGTACATTCATGATATAATCCAATGAGGAACACCTAACCTATCAGTGGTTAGTTATGTCAGTAACCGAGGATGAGTATGTTTACTGACGACTGGAGAATTATTTTTAGTCTAGGAATAGTGAGACATAGACACTATATACGAGTTTGTTCACATGAGTGTTTTACACCGTAAGGTTTTACTCATTAGCATTGGTTGAATATTGCTAACCAAGGAATCCACTGAGGTAAATGACCGCCAAAGTGATAAAACGCTGTAATGTGTTGTCGTATTCCCTGTTAAGTGTTCAGTGACAATTGGCACAGATGGTTCTTCGACCCGACCTCATGCTTATTACCGAATCTATTCTAAAGTTTTCAGATACATCATGTTGTGATAAGGTTGGTAGTTCACTGTGATGAAAGCATTCACGTTTAACATTAATTGACGCTTATTTTGTGAAATCTAGAACGCGCGTTTCATCCTTTTAGGATTCGTCAGCTGAATGTACCTGCACTCCAGTAGTGAGTGATGTTCTTCCCAGTGAGATTCGTACCCAGTACCCATCGCTTCAAGTGCCAAACCGCTGTCCATTAGGTCACTGGGTAGGAGAGCCATCTCTTGTGCAACGGGTATCACTTGTTATTATTTGTTGATGCTTGTGATTTGTTATACTGGATCTAATCGACTTGTGTTGACACAAGAGATTATCCTTGCGCCCTATTGGCATAATGAACAACACTTTAGCGTTTGAAGCGATGGGGGTCCTGGGTTCGAGTCTCGGTGGGAGTAACTTCGCTCAGTGGAGGGCAGGTGCATCCAGCTGACGAGTCGTAAAAGAAGTGAAACGCACATAGTTAATCCCACTTCTAGCCCCCACTAAGTAAATTACGACATTACCCATAATCAACCAATAGTGAAACCTCTGCTTAGGAGCCTGTCTGCCAAGGGAGATCGAGGAATTCGATCCAGAATGATAACAACGAGAAATTACAAGTATCCATGAATCTATTAACTGACATTGTCGATTTGGGGGAAGTGATGTGATAACTTCTTTCTTTCTCTCTCATAATAAGACAATAAAAAAGAAATGTCTTATCTCTATTTTGTTTAGGAGATATGTAAATAAATGATACATTCGATTGCAGTACTGTAACTTTATATTGTCTATTGTTGTTGTTTTATATATTGAAAATGTAACCATTTTCAGTGCTGTTTCGATGAGGACTATGAAGTAACCTGACTTAAAACTAGTAGTAGTCCTTCGGTTGGACTTATTGCATATTTGTACGAAAAATCTTCGTTTATATATACATTTATATTCTATAGCCTAATACTAGTTCGATTGACTATCTCTCTTCCCTTCTTGGGTAACAGTAATAGTAGTGATGAGATGAAGAAGAAGAAGAAGTAGAACATGTGAATGTGTGTAGCTTCATCAATACGAGTCAATTACAAGTTATTACTGCCCAGTAAGCATGTGACTCTCACCTCTGTCAATAACTCCCTCCTGTTCGCCTACATATTATTAAGTGTCTTCCCGTCTCTAAGATTTCAAACACTCTAGTTGCAAATCATTCAGGAGAACCGTTTTTCTCTCTCTCACACACACAATTAGTACAACTGACAATCTGTTTATATCTTCAAGTAGTTAGTTATTTCAAATTCTTATTTTATGATACAATAGAAGGTGAACACTAACGAAGATTGCAGTAATAGTAGGCTAGATTCTCTTTTACCAAGTAGCTTCTAATTAACAGTTTACCAGCCGATTATGGATAGAAATCGAGAGACAACTATTGAGCTTTTAAGCGTAATCTTCATTTTTACAATGATGAGATGTAATTTATTTCACAACTGTACACATTCTCATGGTATGTGAATACTTTGAACCAACAGTAAGGGTATTATTATTATTACTATTACTATTGTTATTATTACTACTATTATTGTGCGATCCTATCCAACTGTCACAAAACTAGGTATGTCACTACTACTATCTGTCAGAAATAAATTAAAATATAATCAGCATATAAATTTTAAGTATTTCACCTTAACGCTGCTTCTCTCTCTCTCTTTAGCTGTGTGTGTGTGTGCGTGCGTCTGTTTCGATCGCCAGTGTTTATTAACCTAACCTTAGGATATAACGTCAGTTGACAAGTCAATTTTATTATTAGGCGATGATTACTGAATATATATAGTTTCAGGTTCTACGGAAAGAAGGCAAATCAGTCAGTGAGGTTGTGAACCTCCATTGACTGAGGTGGCTTGGATATGTATTGTGCATACCGATCCACTACTATCTCTATATGTCATACTAGGGGAAACTGGTTTAGGTTGGAAAAGGGTTCAGACTAGCCAGAACAAGATATTATTATTATTATTTGTCCCTTGGGTTCCTAGTGGAACATCGGCCTTCAGTAGCACGTCTCCATTTCACTCTACTCTCTGCAGTCTGGCTCAACCTGGCTACACCACTGTCCAGAAGCTTTCATTTCTTCCTCACATGATCTCCTCCATGTCACTCTCGCCTCCCACGCCCAACTCGTCGTTTCCCCTTTGGGTTCCACTCGAGGATCTGGCCTTGCACGTGATTTCCCCGAATGGTCTTCTCAGTGTATACCCAATCCATCTCCACTTTCTTCCTCTGCATATTTTGGCCATCTGAGCTTCAGCATCTAGCGTAGGCAGCTGTTGATGTATGTCTGTAGTTTCTTGGAAATGCTTTTCGTAACGCGCCAAGTCTCTGAACCACCATATAGAAGCACTGACTTGACGTCGGTGTTGAAAATCTGGATCTTGTTCATAATGCTGAGTGGAGTAGATCTCTACACTGATTTCAGATTAATGAACGCCTGTCTTGTTGTCTTTCCAATCCTAGCTTTGACATCCTCATTTGTGCCTGTTCCGCCTATGGTT